AGGTAAGGCAAGACTGACATGCATGGCTTGTTTAAAAAGCTTCCTCCAACATTTTGGGGGAATGTGAGTCAAATTAGAAACATCACTGAGCAGACAAATTAAGTCGCTTTCTTTTTGAATCAGATTACTATTCGTATCTACTTGTTGTCTCAGTCCGATATGCTTAACTCAAAATAGTTTTGAATTTTAATGAATTTTCTTAAGCAATTAAAATTTTTTAATTTTTATTATCTATATTAGTTAGTATAACAAAAGAATCTTGTTATACTTTTCAGGTAAATTATCTGTGTGTACACTTTTCCCGCCATATTTGTGCTTTACTTTTCTTCGTCCTTAATTTTTCTTTTCCATCATGTCTGCCTCCGGGATTTTTATTTTGGACAATAAGGGAAAAGTTCTACTAAATAGAAACTACCGTGGAGACGTTGACATGGGCCTAATAGAAAAGTTTTTGCCCATTGTGATGGAGCGAGAGGAAGAAGGACAAATGGCTCCGGTTGTCCAGTTGGGCGAGGTTCACTTTGTCTATGTTAAATATAACTATCTCTACATCGTTGTTATTACTCGGAAAAATGCTAATATCGCTCTTTTATTTACATTTATTTACAAGTTAATCGCAGTAAGCTAGAATTATTATGTAGACCAATAGATATTTGTTGAATATTTTAAAGATCTTGAAGAAGAAAGCATTCGGGACAATTTCGTCATTACATACGAACTGCTAGATGAGGTTATGGATTTTGGATATCCTCAGACAACTGATACAAAAATATTGCAAGAGTATATTACTCAAGAAAGCCACAAGTTGGAGATTGCTCCTCGTCCTCCAATGGCTGTTACTAATGCAGTTTCTTGGCGTTCAGAAAATATAAAATATAGAAAAAACGAAGTTTTCTTAGATGTGATCGAATGCGTCAATTTATTGGTATTGCATTATTATAATACAAATTTTAGGTGAGTTCCACAGGGAATGTTCTTCGTAGCGAAATTGTTGGTAGTATAAAAATGCGGGTGTATCTTTCAGGCATGCCAGAACTAAGATTAGGTGTAAATGATAAAGTTCGTTTCGAAAACACAGGGAGTATGTCAAACTTGGCTTCTTCTATTTGAAAATTTAGAAGCTAAAGCTAGATCTGTTGAACTTGAAGATGTAAAGTTCCATCAGTGCGTCCGACTTTCAAGGTTCGAAAACGATCGTACCATTTCTTTCATTCCTCCTGATGGCGAGTTTGAATTAATGTCCTATCGCCTAAATACGCATGTAAGTCCTACGCTCTGTGGCCTTTGTATTATTCCTACCAATGTCATTACAATGCTTTCGTTATTCTTTTTACTATATATATCTCAGAACGTCTTATATAAAGTCTTAACACTTCATATTGCATCAGTTATATTATTTTAAACCAAAATGAAATCAAATAAACGTGTATGTATGTATATACATAAATTTTGGTCTTTACGTCAATCAGCTAGTGGCCGATACTTTGGTAAAAATTTCGAATATTACATTTTAGATGGCAAAGTAGGCTAAAGGTTATTGTTTTTTGCTTGCATTCCTTTGATATTCCAACGGAAGTTAACTCTAATAACTCGTAGATAGGAATTCTAAAGTTACTTCGCAGTCTCCGTTTGCTCTAATAAGCTGGTATGACCTCGTTTTCACATATTGGCCGATGCAACGATAAGATCTGTTGACACTTATTAAGTCTTACATTATCTGCT